CTATATTTATTTTGACTATATTTATTTTGACTATATTTATTTTGACTATATTTATTTTGACTATATTTAATTTTAGACTACATTTAATTTTAAAATAAATAATTTCATTTCGCTATATTTAATTTTAAATTTACAATCAGGGTCACATGCGAGGATGGGGTTGGCCAAGCTCAGGTAGGAGCACTATGGAGTCCATCATGAATTAATCACTGGTGTATCCAACAGATTTGGGAAGGGAGGAATGTTCAGATTCCCAGCCCCCTCCCAGCCACCCAAGGCCACCAGTTCAATCCCAGCCCAGTTCCATGGGACACAGTGGGTGGGACCTGTGGCTGAAGAGAGATGTTGGAAGGACTTGAGGAGCACAGTTGTCTCTCCCAAAGTGCCAAGGCCACAGAAGGGTCACCCACCACAGGGGGAACCTGAGATAAGCACAGAAGGGAGGAATTTGGGACAGGAAGGTGTTGATCCCAAGGCCTGGTGGAGGTCAGATCTGGTGGGCACATCCTAGACAAAAATTCCCACCGTGGAAAAGGAAACAACTGCTCCCACACATCACCCCAGTTATGGGAACAACATCTGCGACCACCCCATGGAGACCCAAAACTTGGACTGTACAAAAGTGGTACCTCCAGGACCACTCCAGGACCCCACCAGGAAGGTCAGGGTGAAGAAGGACCACCAGGACACCACTGGATCCACGGGTGGTGATGATCTTCTGCTTGATCTCTCTCTCCCCCTCCCCTCTTTTCTACTTCTTCCTCTCTCTCTACTTCATTTACTGTCAAATAAAATCCACATTATTGCCTTGGGCACACGGTCTCGTTTGCACCTTAATTTGGGCAGAGGCATCTCCCACCACGGGACCACAAGAGATGTGGATCCCTTTTAGCAGTCATTCTGTGCTCTCCTCTTAGGCAAAGGAGTCGAGGACATGATTCAACTCAGCCTAATTTTAGCACCCAAAATAGGTCAGATGAACCACACCCAGCACAGGTTTCTCTCCCTGGATATAAAGGGAGCCCGGGGGCACCTGCTCCCAGCAGGATCAGGGCAGTGCTGAGGAATCCACCATGGAAAGCTGCAGGAGACAATCACCACCCTGTTCCCTCAGGCCCAGACCCCGTGTTCTCACAAAGGCTCCAGTTTGGAAGGGTTTGGAAGGTGCAGCAGCTCCCAGGGCAGCGTGTTTGGACACCTGAGGGGCTGGCACTTGACTAAAGAGAGGAGAACATGAAGAGAGCCCTGTCAGATCACAGAGCAAGCCAAGCTGGGCTTAATGTGCTACAGAACAGCTTTGAACGTGTCTTATTCATCCTGCTGGCCATGGCTGCGCAGACACTCCCTGTCTGCCCCACACCCAGGCCCAAAAATACCCCAAAGAGCCCCAAAACCACCTGCAGCATCTGCTGTTGTGCCACCAACAGAGTCAACCATGGAAGGTCCCATTTAGTTCATACAGTGTCACATCCTTGAGCCATCAGGCTCTTTGGTCCTTTTTGGCCCACCTTGGTCCTTTAAATAAATAAGGATCAAAATCAGCTGCAGGAATGGGCTTGGATCACTCCAAAGCTGCCTCTGGTGCACACTGACCGAGGGAAGTTCCGTGGATGCTCCTCTCTTCCTTCTCCTTTAGGTTTTCCTTTATTCTCCAGTGCAAACCACAGGTGGACGGATCCGAGACAAAGTTTCCCCGACAGCCAAGCTCTGCTGTGTCTTCAACACCAGAGGAACCTGAATTCCTCTGTCCTTTCTCCATCCAGCCCATCTGGGGGGCTGCAAGACTCACCTGGATGAGCACGAGGACGTCGTCGAAGAGCAGGATCCGGTCGGAGCGGTTGGTGCCGGTGGAGATGGGAAGGTCCTTGCTGTCCTCCAGCAGCCTCCTCTCGGGAACACACAGCATGTCCTGCACACAGGGAACCACAGGATGGAGCACCAAAACATCAGGAGCTGGGAGAGGACACGTAATCCAAGCCAAGAGCTCCTGCAAAGCCCATCTGAGCCAGGGTGGAAGCTGCAACAGCAGAACTGGACTCAGAGCTTAACTTTAAACCACCCAGTGACCATCAGGTCTCTCCAACACTTCCACCCAGCCCTGCTCTGTTGACTTCAAGCCTCAAACTCTTGATCCATGTTCAACTTCCTCCAGGGGTACAGAAAAATGTAAGAGCTTCAAACGAGGCTCCCCTTTCTCCAGCCAGGACTCACCGTGAACTTGCAGCCCAAGGATTTCCACAAGGCCTTGGTCAAACAGGCTTCATCCAGGACCTGGCTGATGAAAGATTGCAGCTTTGCATACTCCTGGATGACACTGGTGACCACGTCCTTCTCAGGGCCCTGGGAAAAGAAGGCAGGGTTTGAGCAACACTTCAACCCCGAGGGAATTTCAGGTTGGATATTAGGAATACCTCTTCACTGAAAGAGGGGTTGAACATCGGAACAGGGCTTCCCAGGGAAGTGGTGGAGTCACCAGCCCTGGACATGCTCAAAAAACAAGTGGATGTGGCACTTCATGGCATGGTTTAGTGGGAACGGTGATATTTGGCCCAAGGTTGGACTTGATGATCTCGGAGGTCTTTTCCAACCTTAATGATTCCGTGATTCAGGCATGAGAACAAACCTTTCAACCTCCTTTTCCAGGAAGGCTTCTCCCAAATCCAGCCACCAGCAGAAATGAGCAATCCTAGGCCAGTCATTTGACCTTCAGCAGCTCCTCCCCATGATGAGTAGCCCACACCAGGCTGAAGTGGCCACTGGTGGTTGGTTTGAGACCTTGAGGTGGGCTGTGCTTCACCACTGCTGGTTATTCCCACCCCAGCTGTCCACTGGAAACAAGTCTTCTTTCCATCCTGCTTTGGATTCCCCGGCACATCCCCAGAACCCCATGGCACTAATGAGCCAGCCAACATCCCACCAAGCTTCCTACCTCTTTGAGGGTCTCCTTGAGCTTGATGAGGAGCAGGAGGTACTGCTGGATGTGCTCCCGGAGGGGTTTGTGCAGGACAGTGTACAGGGCCAGGGCCACGGAGGTCTCGGGGGTGAAGTCTGTCAGGAACTGCTTCAGCACCGTCCTGTGCTGCTTCCAGGCCTCGCTGCCAGGTGGGAAATTAAGGCAATTAATTAGTTTTTCTGCAAACTGCCACTCCTCTGTCTCCCAAACTTCCCATGCTGCCTCTCCCTCATGAAGGAGCAGGAGATGATGAAGTGGTTGCGAATCTGCTCCTACCCAGTGGTTGTCTTTTCATCTGCTGCTTCCACGAGACTCTGGGACAAGCAGTGGAGATTCCCTGCCAGATTCCCACCTTTCTCAGGTCCCACCCTTTACCTAAGCCCCCCAAATTCCAAATTTACAGGCTTTCACTCCTACAGAAGGAGTTGTGTGGGGATAGAAGGAGATGGAGAGAGTTCTGCAGAGGAGACCCGTCACCCTGTGGCTGCCCCTGGATCCCTGGAAGTGTCCAAGGCCAGGTTGGAGCAACCTGGGCTAGTGGAAGCTGTCCCTGCCCATGGCAGGGGGTGGCACTGGATGATCTTAAGGTCCCTCCCAACCCAAACCATTTGGGGATTCCATGGCCCACTGACCTTTTGCTCTTGGTGGCGTGTTCGAAGCCTTGGACCACGACATAGTTTGCAAAAGTGACAAAATACCTGTTGGCAAGAAAAAAAAACCAACCAGGACACATGAGCTGAGTCAGAGGTGGACACTGGGGAGGAGGTTTAACCAAATGAAGCTGCTGGGAGGCTCCTTTACCCCCACAAAGAGGGAAGAGGACAAATTTAACAGCTCAGAGCGAGGCTGGTTTATGGTTTAGTTGATGTGGTGTTCAGTTAAAGGTTGGACTCGATCTTGGAGGTCTTTTTCAACCTCAATGATTTTGGGATGAAGGGGAGAAGCTCATTTGAAAATGTCCTGCCACGTCCACCTTTCCAAGGGAGGCCTGGAGAGGTGGAGCTACTGCACTTGTCCCCTTGGCCTCATTCCCTGTGTCCCCTTTCCCAGCTCCTTGGTTTATCTGCCTTGTTGCCCTCGGAGCGTTACAGGGAGTTTAAACCATCCTGGCATTTGGCACAAGCAGAGGGAAACTTGTGCAACTGTCCTGGAAAGCAAATTTGCAAAGGCTGAGCTTAAAATAACGGCTTCAAACTGAAAGAGAGCAGGGGTAGGTGGGATATTGGGAAGGAATTCCTGGCTGGGAGGGTGGGGAGGGACAGGTACAGGTTGCCCAGAGAAGCTGGGGCTGCCCCTGGATCCCTGGAAGTGTCCAAGGCCAGGTTGGAGCAATCTGGGACAGTGGAAGGTGTCCCTGCCCATGGCAGAGGGTGGCACTGGATGGGCTTTAAGGTCCCTTCCAACCCAGACCATTCCATGGCTCTGGGATTGGATGAACCATCCAAGTGCTGGGAGAGCTGGGATTGTTCAGCCTGGAGAACAGAAGCTTTGGGGGAAACTGATTGTGGCCTTCCAGGACCTGGAGGAGCCACAGGAAAGATGGAGAGAGACTGTTTACAAGGGCTTGGAGGGACAGGACAGAGGGAATGGCTTCACATTGACAGAGAACAGGGTTAGATGGGATATTGGGAAGGAATTCCTGGCTGGGAGGGTGGGGAGGCCCTGGCACAGGTTGCCCAGAGAAGCTGTGGCTGCTCCTGGATCCCTGGAAGTGTCCAAGGCCAGGTTGGAGCAATCTGGGATAATGGAAGGTGTCCTTGCCCATGGCAGAGGGTGGCACTGGATGATTCTTAAGGTCCTTCCAACCCAAGCTATTCCATGATTCCATGAAAGCACCAGGTCTCTCCTCCTGATGGTAAATTCCCACCGAGGTGTCCCTGGCCAATGTTTCCCGTCTCACACTAGAGGGAGTTCAAGCCATGTTTTCCAAGCAAACACCACATTTTCTTCCCGTGGTGTTTTCAGTTAAGTCGTGTAGAATGTCCACACTAATTCTCACTTATCACCTTTGCCAGGGACACACATTCACTGCTGATTTTCAGGCCCCTTTCCCTCCTCCTCTCCTATTCCAGGACTGCACAGGATGAGTCAGCAGAGCCAGGGAGGAACCACTTCTTTTTTTCTTTTAACATGACACCCAACAAAACCAGCTTTTTAATTTCTAAAGGAGGGGGAAATAAGATCTTAAGATAAACTTCTCCTTTGTGTCACCCGAAACCTCAGCCTCAGTTTTCATCTTCCACGTGCCTGGGGCAAAAACCAGCTTTAATTCAGCTCCCAGATGGAAGCACACAGCTGCTCCAAACCCTGCTCCCACCGAGGCAAAGCTGGGGCAGCACTTCCTAAAATTATTTCCAAGGGAAAAATAACATTTCTCTCCTCAGTCCTCCGAGGGCTTTAAACCTCCTCGTGCCCGATGTCCCTGCTGCCAGCTCGGCCTCTGCCCTCCTAGATTTACCTCTGACAAAACTGGTCCCTCAGATCATTCCAAAACCCTTCTGTACTCACTGGATGTGGATGCTGAGGAACTGGTCCCCTTTCCAGATGATGTAAATGTCCTGGATGCAGGAGCGCTCGGAGTCGCCGCGTTTCTGTTTCAGTATCCGGTAGTTTTCCTCCGTGAGGTTCCAGAGGGCTTGGAATCGATCGTTGAGGAGCAGGAAGAGCTTGAAGTTCTCCTTCCCCTTCTGGTCATTTGGCTCTTGGAGGAAAATGTGGGGGGGGGGGGAAAACACGGTGAGGAAGCCTTGGCTTGTGGAATACTTTTCCTGTATCTAAAACTCAGTGTAAAGCACGTTTATATAATGGGAGTGAGGCCATAGGATTGATCCAAATTATTATCCAAAGGATAAATGGAGTAATCCAGAGGTGATCAGAGCCCCTCTGCTCTGGAGCCAGACTGGGAGAGCTGGGGGGGTTCACCTGGAGAAGAGAAGGATCCAGGGAGAGCTGAGAGCACCTTGCAGAGCCTAAAGGGGCTCCAGGAGAGCTGGAGAGGGACTGGGGACAAGGGATGGAGGGACAGGACACAGGGAATGGCTTCCAACTGCCAGAGGGCAGGGATAGATGGGATATTGGGAAGAAATTGTTGGCTGTGAGGGCAGGGAGGCCCTGGCACAGGTTGCCCAGAGAAGCTGTGGCTGCCCCTGGATCCCTGGAAGTGTCCAAGGCCAGGCTGGAGCAACCTGGGATAGAGGAAGGTGTCCCTGCCACCTTCCACGAGATGATCTTTAATGTCCCTTCCCACCCAAACCATTCCATGAACTCTCTGCTGCTCAGACACAAGCACCAGAGGGAAAATTTCTGCCCCTGGCCCAAAGAACCATTCCCAAAGAACCATTCCCAGTCTCCTTGGAGGCCAACAAGGCAGTGACAGGAGCGGGAACCACCCTCTGAGCCCAATCCAGTCCCACCGCTTTCGGCCAGACAGGCTCGTGAATATTTATATGGATTTGTTGTGGCAGTGGAGCTGCTCTGACAGCTGTTCCTGCCAGCTGGGAACCTGCACCCACGAGTTCTACCTCCAGAGATGGGCACAGCCACGGAACCAGAGCAGGGAGGGACAATGGGAACAGTTTTGGGGTCACGCCTGCGCGAGATGCACTTTGGATTCGTGGCCCACGCTGGAAACCAGCCCTGGAGCGGGTGTGCAGGTGATCCTGGTTAAAACGGGGAGTAACCCCTAAAAACCAGAGAAGCACAGCCCTGGGCTTGACTGGCAGGTCATGCACATCCCTAAAAACCTCACCATCCTAAACCAAACATCTCCAAGAAAACACGGAGTTCCCACCGCGAATCCCTTCAGGGCTGTGCCGGTGACTCAAGGAACTTCAGTGACTCAAGGTGAAAACTCCAGACAAGCCCCAGCCTCCCGTGACTTACCTGCCTGGAGCAGAGGCTTCAGGACCGTGACATCGATCCGTGCCAGGCTTGCTGAGAAGGTCTCCTCCAGCTGGAGCAGAGAGGCCACGGCTTCCTCCGCGCACATGTCCTGGACACGACACAGAGGGCACAAATCAACCCCTCCATGGCACCTGTTGATCCTTGAGGTCTCTTCCAACCTCAACAATGCCGTGGTTTTAGCTACTTTAAGGCTTCAGAAGGGACATTAAAATCCATCCAGTTCCACCCCCTGGCACGGGCAGGGACATCTTCCACCATCCCAAGTTCCTCCA